GGGGGGGGGGGGCGACATCGCTGGAGACGTGTCCCCCGCCGACGCTGGACGCTAGAAGGTGGACGGAGGCGGTGGGGTCGGACTTCATGGTGCGCGGCGCGTCGTACCTGACCAATAGGGTCAAGGTGGCTTCGGCCAAGCAGGTGAGAGAGAATTCTTCAACATAACTTTTTTTTTGGGGGGGGAGGTCCTTTTGAAGGGTTACATCTGTGGGAATGAATTGAAGTAAAAAAGTTCAACATTCAAAGTAATTCCTTGATAGAAAGGAGTATAAAAACAAAACAATGATAGTTTTGATGGATAGTTTTGTATTTTTATTGATGTGATGTTGCCTATTGATACATCGGTTATTAGTAGCGTAGACAATGGAAATTTCTTCACCTGTTTCACACGTCAAGTTCGGTTTCGTCCTCTTGGTCGTACATGGAGCCCATGTAACTGCTTCCGTCTCCAATGGAGCCATGCAACTGCTTCCCGTCCCCAGAACGTGATGCTGTATCGGTTGGCCCTTCAGCGACGGCATTGTAGTCTCTTTGTAGGAAAGCAACGCTTATTTGGCACGCCGCTACATCGATGGTTAGGATGTTAACATGTCGTTCACAACGTTCCTACTGCACAACTTTTACAACAAGGGCATGTCGGGGCTGTGTATAATGATTCCATGAGTTGTGGGTTCGGGTAGCTAGCTGTCCACGCGACTACGGTGTGCTGGAGCTTTGCGCCCAGTGGAATGGGCGTCGAGATATGATTGTTTGCCGATGCGTCAGATGTCTGATCTGAAGGGCTTCGACCCCCCCCGCCCCATTTACGCCGCACTCTTCAGATGTTCCGGTTGCGAGCAGTGGACCTCTTTGTGCTCCCGGAGCCCGCGACGCACCTGGCGGCGCACCATGGCAACCGCGTTCAGATCGCCAGAAAGGTGCGGCGAAACTCATGCCGTTTGGACGTCTCCCGGTTATTGGAGGCAAACGAGAAAGACTTGTGTAGACTCGACCCGACGCAACGTGTAGAGAGTGAGCGTGTGGATGGAGTCAGCTTCTATGAAGCATTGTTGTCGGTTCCTGACGATGTTTTTTTCTGGCAATAATGGTACCTTGGTACCTTCGAGGGGACGGTCTGATTCATCGCCCTTCATCGCCTTTCATATCTTCTCACCTCAATTCGTCACTTTTTCCATCACCTTTCATCACCTTTCATCACCTACTTGTGGGGTCGCGGTGCTGGTCTGTCTCTCGAGGTCGTGATTTTTCGGCGAGTTGTTCCCGCTTACCAGTATTATTCAGCCATGGCGAGCCGCCTACGCCGCCCTGAAATCTAATGCAAGTATAAAAGCTCTCTTCGTGCAGTAGTATTTAGTTGGGCTTACTCCGTTTTGTGGAGTAATAGACCTGGCGTTTCGATTTCGTGAAGGCGACGTGTTCTAATTGAATGTGTTGTATCTGGGTATTGTTTTGTATTGTACAACTGTATGCATACAGGCCGGAGAGACGTCTTTCGTGTGGGTGCTGCAGATCATGGTGCCAGGTCCTCCTCACTACGCGTTCGTGTGCTACTTCACTCCAGCGGCTGACAAGTGAGTGCTCGCGGCATCGTCCGACAAAAACAAGATATAGCGTCACTGGTGTTTGCTGGAGTTTTTTTTTTGTGCGAAGCGCGGATTGCCGTTTTTTTTTTGTTGGTGTTTGCTGGAGTGCGAAAAGCCGATGGTCGGCGATTGATGCTTGTTTCCTTGGTTTTGTGTGGTTTTTGAACCGAGCGGCTTCGCAGCACGACTGCCGTATAGCAGTGGGCCCGTTTGGGCGTTGGCCTAAATGCCGGCGGCTTTGATAGCACAACGTGAGCTACATCTGACCGTTTGTCCTTTCTTCACCCAAGTTTCTCGGGTAGCATGTAGCCATGACGTTCATGTATTATGGTCTGTATCTCGAGCACTGCTACCATTTAATCATCGGCAGACTCCGTTGTCTGACGTGTTTCTTCTCTCCCCCCCCTCTCTCTTTTTCTCGGTTTCTTTCACGTCTGTGTGCCGTCCCAGCTGGATGGACCAGAGCACTCCGTTCGGCAAGCTGGCCAAACAAGTGTTCTTCGGCGACAGCGATGCCTTCAGAGACGAGCGGCTTAAGCTCATCCCCAAGGCAAGCGTGATAACAAGTCGTACGCGTTGCTGCTGCTGCTGCTACTTTGTTCGTATCCGACGACAGCTGATTGCTGCTTTGCTCGTATCCGACAGTTGCTGTTTGGAGTCGTGGAGACAAGACCTTCTGCAGCCGGGTTGTGCTTTGGTGGGACCGCTTTCTTTTTTTTTTGTATCGTTGTTTCCAGCGCAGTGCGACTTCGCCGTTATCTCCACCGGCCAAACCAACACTGCTCCCGTGGTCGCTGTCGTCTTGCAGCAATGCATCGAACCTTGTTGCCCGTCGCAAATCAGTCTGCGGGTTCAGCGTTGACCCCCCGCCCCCTCTGCGCATATATCGGTCTCCATGTGACTCTTTTTTGATCCAGATTGTTCAAGGCAACTGGGTGGTGAAGCGAGCGGCGGGCTCAACACCGGCCATCCTGGGCACCAAGCTGAAGCAGCACCATTTCAAGGGCGACAACTACCTTGAGACAGACCTGGAGATAGGTGTGTATTGCTGACGGTGCACCAACACTTGGTTGCCCTGCTCCTACTCGGCTTTGCACATGTCTCAGTGAGTGTAGGCAACCCCCTGGTTGTGTTGAAGAAGTGGCACGGAGTGCTGCTTTGTCCAAGACACATTTTCCTCGCTCGCGTACCTATGCGTGCCATGGTTGATAACGGGCCATGTAACAGACTACTTATCTTTCTGCAAGTTGGTCTTATCCCCCCTCCCCCCCTCCCCCCCCTGCCTTCCTGCGCGTTGTTCTTACCCCCCCTCCCGCCCTCCTGCACGCGCGGCATTCACGTTGCTTAGCGTCGTCGAGCTTGGCCGCGAACATCACTCGCTTGTGCACGGGGTACGCTAAGTCTTTGGTCGTGGACATGGTGTGGACAATTCAGGTACGCTTTTTTCACCACTAGCTGGTACAACCTGCACACCGAAGTTGCGATAGACGTTGTACGACGGCAGGTAGAGTGCGTGTAGAGTGCACAGGTAGGCCATCCTTCGTTTCGAGAAGGCACTGAGCGTACCCCTGTTTGGGTAGTAGGCTTGTTGCCACGAAAGGCGTCCGCGTCAGTCGACCAGTACCGAGGTTTGAAGGTACAGTACTTTGGCGGAGACCGGAACGTTTTTTTAACGTCCAAGACAACAACAACGCGAGACGCAGTTTTCTGCATCCCATTGGCCTCAAGGCTGTGCGATCGGTTTGTTATTTTTCGTGGTGTACCCTCTTGAACCAACCCACCCCGATGGTTGTCGCCACCGCCGCCGTGAACGTGCGCAGGGGAACACCGAGGAGGAGCTTCCAGAGGTTGCTCTGGGCGGAGTACGCATCAATGCTCTCGATTTGCTGGCCGCGAAGCCGTTGGATCTGTCGGCCGCACCAGCCCCAAGGCCTGCGTCGTCTTTGCCGGACGCACAAACCCCCAGCAGAAGACGATAGGCCGGCCGGGCCACGTCCTAACATTGAGTCGTTTCGGAAACCCGATGCGTGGAGGAAGAATATGCCCTGCGTGCTGTGTGCTGCCGCCCTTCGCACTGCTGTTTGTTCTTCCATGGAAGCTGCCAATTTTTTTGTCATGTCTGTGAGGTATATCATCACTCCGGATAGGTGCCGCCAAGGGGGAGGGGACAGACTCTTGGCGGGTAGTTTCTCGGGATTGTGCTGCGATGGTACGAGTTTGTTACAAGTGTGCGGAAGGGGTTTTCTAGTGCTGAAAGTTGTTTGGGACGTCGACTGGAGTGAGTTTAGTCTTTATTCGCTTCGAATGGTGTGGCCCGCTAGTTGCGCGTGTAGACAAGCGAGGTATCAAGCGTGCACTGCTATTACTCACCGCAGACCGTTGCCTCAGCACGCGCTTTTAAACCATTTTTTTTTTTACTGTAGCGCGACTCTTTCGGTCGAACTAACGTTTGGTTGCTCCCTCGTAGTGTTACCTCGTTTTTGTCATATTTTCAGATCAGGGTTACTGCCTGTTCGCTCCTTAGGAAAAGTCATCTTTCGCGGCTTTTTTGTCGAGGCGGCGCAGCCTGTTCATTTGATACCAACAGCGGTTGTAGGTCTTTGGTATGTGCGATCGTATGTGTGAATATTCCAGGTGAGCTCCTTTGTTGCATTTGATTTCTCGCAACCCCGTTGCGCTTGTGTCGTAGGCTGGTGTCTGGTCGCTTGGAATGAAGGGGAAGTGGTTTGTCATGTTGGTTGCTTCTTTTCGTAAGAGACGAGGTCTCAGCGAAGCTGGCGGTGTCGGACAATCCCGAGGCAGCAAAATGCAAGGTTAAGCAATTCGCTCGACGTGTGGCCGCATTTGCCGATTGGTGTCAAGGTCGTCGAGACGCTGATGGGTGGGCTCCAGTCCGGAGCCCCGGGGTTGATGTGAACCCTCCGTCCTTCGTTTGCGTGTCATGTGCACTCGATCTAAGCGCCATGGTCTCGAGCTGAGACGCAGAACGTCTCCAGCTGAGGCTCCAACAGTGCTGAAATCGCAGCTACACAGGCCATACATTTGACCCCGCCTAAAGAGAACAAACGACCTCCCCATCTCCAAGTTTCGATCACTTGGGAAAACCCGCAGCTAGGTGCGTTTGCCACTGCCGTTAACCCTTTAGCCCCTTCTCCTCTGCACTCGGTTGAACCCGTCATTGGTCTTTGGTGAGGACCCGGTTTGTGCAGTGTTCGTTGGCGTTTGATAGCCTACATGTGTATTTACTTCGACTTCATGACGCTGGTCTGTGGGCAAGCCCCGATCTCACTTCTTCACTATGTTATGCCTCGTTCCTAACGAAAGACCACGCGCCTACCCAGAGACCAAATGATTCGTTGCGAGCTCCGTGAAAATGAGTTCCGCTATGTCGGCTGTCTAGCGCCCCATTTATTGCTTCATACATGGACTTTGGGTGTGTACCTGCCAATGATTCTGAATCCCGGGGGGGGGGTGTACTGATAGTCGTGCATGTCATGTCGTTAGACCATTGACCTCGCATCCCTACAAAGCCGGGACGGAGTACGCCAGGTTCTCACCGGACCAGGCTCTCACATCACCAAGCGCGAAGCGCCGTGAGATATTCGGCGAGTCGCATGAAGGGTGCGCTGCATCCTGCTAAGGGTTTTCGGCATCTTGTGCTTACTTCCTTGCGTACGGATGACAGCTGCGTATGAATTAATTTATTTTCTGGTGCTTTCACTTCCAGAGACAGTTGTAAGCACTGTGTAACTGCCTCGAGGGTGCTTGACCATTTTAACACAACGTGGTGCGATCATCCCCCTTGCGCGGAGTGAGGCTTCTCCACCCCGCACAACATGATCTACTCGACCACCATTGTGGTTACCGCCAAAAAAAGCAGAGGTGAAAAAGAAACGGCAATCTGGTTGCCGAGTTCACGAAGTGAATTGGCTTGTTTTACAATGTCTTTGCCAGGCGACGAAAACCCAATCCCGATGGCAAGCACCGAGGGGGCGGCTTGTTCTACAACGTCGTTGCCAAGCGACGAAAACCCAACCCCGATGCCAAACACCGGGGGGGGAGGGGGGGGATATACCCGCTGTTGAGACCCCAAGTTTGACATTTCTGAGCCTCATCATCACATCACTCTTAACGACTTCCTCCTGAACTTTCCAGCGAAAGCAAAAGAGGAGATTGCTGCAGCAGATATTCTTGCAAAGGGAGTAACAACCAGCAGCAACAACAGTGCACTTAGCGCACGATATGAGAGAGACGAAGATATAGTACTTGGGTCTATCTGGGTGGTCCTTGGTCAGTCTCGCGCAAGCAACCAGAGTTCTCGAAAGGCGCTTGCTTCGCGGCGAGACAACGCGATGGGGCTTCCGAGATGCAAGAAAGTTTCTGCCGATGTCGGTGCGGACGAAGGCCGAAAGGTCAAGCGATGGAGGGACTGGCTTGCTCGCGACAGAAAGACGAACAAGTTGGATGGGGTGAGAAGGAAGTTCCAAAGCCTTGGTTCCGTGTACGGTTGCCGTAAATATAAACAGGTTGGTTGCTGACCACCGCCGTGCCATCATGCGTCTCGGGCGGACTGCATTTTCCGGCTCGTACTCTCGGACTCACATATAGTAAGTAGCGTCTCGCCCACGTGGACGACGGTCCTGTCCAATTTCGGTGTTGATGCTTGGCTCGGGTTTGTCTCCGCCTGACCGTGGCGAGCGGCTGTGGTGTTGATGAAGTTTGTTCGGCGGCCGTTCGAAGATTGTACAACGCGTGGTCTGTATCTATTTCGCCTAGAACCTGATTCCACCTGTACAGCATCAGTACAACGTCAGTACCGCGAGGTATCGACGCACGTACGGAGTTGTGGGCTACGGTGAACTGTATGTCTGCGTGAGGAAGGCTGTATGTCGTTGCTGACGGAGGCCTGCCGGACCGGTAGGAGAGGTTGGGGCGGAAGCTGTATAACCCAAGTCACCGTGGGCCACCGCCGCATTCACCAGTCTTGCGGTACGCATACGTAGGCTTTCTTCGTACCGTAGTGTAGTTCAAGCGATCGCAGGCACGGGGGGGGAAGAAAACCTCAAGGCTGACGGTCGAGTGGGTGATCTTCAACGGTGAAACAGTCTAAACCTTTGTTCGTAGTCTGAAAACGGGCACGTGACTTGTATGAAGTAAAAAAGATGCACGCTGTGTCGATTTGACTCTACTCTCGTTTGTTCGCGTTCCGCTCGCCGGAAACTACGGTAACCTATATGTGAACACGATGTGATGATCCCCCATCACCAGCTTATCCATGTCTAATGGTGTTGTGCACGAGCAGGGGGCAGCGAGAGAGAGAGAGAGAGAGGGAGGGAGAGAGGGAGAGAGAGAGACAGAGAGACAGAGACAGAGACAGAGACAGAGAGAGAG